GGAACTTGCAGGGTTACTCTGGTGGGGATGGCAACGGCACCAGTGTACAGGAAAAAGAACTGAGCTAAGTTGATCAAATAACAATCAGTTTTCAGGAAGGGTGCATTCTACCCTTTTGGGCCAGAAGGCCACAATCAGAATGCATTTTGACCTGTCCATTCAGATTTTGGCTAGAACACTCTCTCACCATGGAGTTGGGGGGGAAGCATAGAACAGGGCTCTTTGTCCTGTCAGCTGGAAGGTGTCCCCTAGGGGATGCCCATCTGTCTCTGCAGAACTGGAGGTACGGTGTTCAAAGAGGAGGCAAACAGGTCCACTTGGGGTTGTCCCCAGCAACGGAACATAGGAAGTAGATTATTGTCTTTTAGAGAGCATTTGTGTGTAGGTGTGCTGCTTCTGCTGAGAGTGCAGTCCCATTTACCACCCTGGCAATGTGGATAACTTCCAAGGAAACATCATGTTAGTTGGCCCAGTGTCAAAAGAAAGAAGCTTCCAAACAGAGGGAGAGGGAAGCAGTACTTCCTTGTTTGTTTATGTAGAACTTGGATGTTGTGTTTGTGCCTACTAGAACCCTTTTGCTAGTGACAAGGATTATAAGTGAAATCAAAGCATTTCTTTTTTTCTTTTTTTTTATTGAAAAGTACTGAGACTGGCAAGTGATTTCAGCTCTCATACTTTATTATAGGTGCAGAACAAGACAAGGAACCCCAGCTCGTAGGCCGGCTTATATCTCAGTAAACCCACTCCCAAGAACACCCACCCACTCAGTGATGGGCTATATACAGTGGCCGAGAGTTCCATAGGTCCCGACCAGGAACCTAGCCCTCTGGTTGGTGTGGGCTAGAATTCGCTTGGTCCATTGTCTCCTGGAGCGAAGCTTGGAGGCTTCGCATGACCATGTGGAGCACTCGCCTCGCACACAGTCGGGTTAGATACATTAATATTTTATTTTATTGATGAAATCAAAGCATTTCTGACTGCCCTGAGCTCCAATAGGTTAATATGAATGGCCCACTCAGAAGGGGACCAGTGACCACTGGCCCTATGGGAATCACAGTGTGCTCTCCAGCCTGAAACAGTCACGTCGGTAAAAACCTGAACAGTGTGTGAGGGTGTCCCAAATGGGGAGCCAATCAGCAGGTTGGCCCAAGAAGACCACCACCCTATGGAATGTGTGATGGCTCTGCGAATGGACAATTTCTGCCAGGGGGGCCAGTATATTGGCAGACCTGAGAAACCAATTCTGAAGGGGCTTCATGAACAACAGGGCAAAAGGGAGTACAGCAGCGGTAGGGGCTATGAGATCACCACCGAGCTGTCATCAATATGCCGGTGATACTCAGCTGTATATATCCTATTCCTTATGTGGTAAAGGTCCTAATTTGTTGCCTGGCGGCAGTTAACTAGCTAAAAGTTAACAAATTGAAACTAAACCCTGAAAAGACAGATGTAATGCTGGTTAGGAAGGTGGAGGCCTTGAAGGACATTTTCTCCCCACTTTCAATGGAGTTCAGCTGACACTTGCTGACTCAGTTAAAAGCCTTGGGATCATACTGACTCCAGCTTTATTACTGGAAAAGTTAATGCAGTTTTAAAAATACTTTTTTCCAACTCCGCCTAGCCTGTAAAATGGCCAGGCAGCATTCCTTAATACACCTGATCTGGCCACCTGGATCCACATAACAGCAACATTGAGACTAGACTACTGTAATGCAATGTATGTTGGTCTCCCGTCAAAATCAATTTGGAAACTCCAACCAGTCTAGAATGCTGCGGCTCGATTATTGGCATGAGCTAGACAGCCCATGCATATTATTCTCATTCTGCAAACCCTCCATCAGTTGCCCATTTGTTACCAAGCTCAGTTTTAAGGTATTGGTCCCTCTCATATATGGGACTGCCTATAACTCTATGCTCCACCAAGACAACTTTGCTCATTTCAGCAGGATGCCAACTGGCAAATGGGCAAAATCAATACATGCCAATTGGCAAATGAGCAAAATCAACAACTGCCCGTACATGTGAGTTCTGTGTTGTGACTCCCACCTTGTGGAATGGTTAGCCCTTAGAGGTCAGAAAAGTCCCCACTCTCCTGGCCTTTCGCAAAGTATGCAAAACTGAACTATTCAAGAGGCCTTTCCTGCACAGGTAGTAAGGTTGCACAGTACAAAATGGTTTCACAAACCTACTTGGGTAAATGATTGGGCCTTACTGCTTTACATATAGTATTGTAAGTAGGATCCTATAATATTTATGCTATTCTCCTGTTCTTTCTGGTGGTTCCAGTTTTCTAATATACTAATCCATTAGTCATGAGATGGAGACAATGTTGGTTGCCTTGGTGGATGTCCTCTGGAGACACCTGGATCAAGGCAGATTGGCGCTGCTGATACTTCTTAACTTGTTGGCAGTGTTTGATACACTCAGCTATGATCTGTTGACTCACCATGTCACCGAGGTGGGGACAAGGGGGCTCGCCATGCAGTGGCTGAACTCCTTTCTCCGAGGTCAGGGACAGAGTGTGGCGCTGGGGGGCGGATTATCCCAGTGACACCTGTTGGAATGTAATATGCCACAGGGATCGATTCTCTTCCCAATACTGTTTAATATCTACATGCACCCACTTGCCCAGATTATCCAGAGGCATGGGCTGAGTTGTCACCCATATGCTGATGACACCCAGCTCTATCTATTGATGGATGGCCACCTGGACTCTGCTCCAGAAAATCTGGACAGGGCGTTACAAGCCGTGGCTGGATGGTTAAAACAGAGCAGACTGAAATTGAATCCATCGAAGTTGGAGGTCCAGTTCCTGGATTGTGGGGGACTGGGATTGGGCTCCCAACCTTTGATGGGGTCCCACTGGTGCTGGCATTGAAGATGAAGAGCCTGGGGATGTTCCTGGATGCCTCACTAACTATGGGGGTCCAGGTCGCTTCCACTGCTAGGTCTGACTTTTTCCATGTGCAACAGATCAAGCAGTTGGCCCCTCAGGATCTGGCTACATGCAATGGTCACTTCCAGATTGGACTATTGTAATTCTCTCTACATGCCCTTGACTCTGCTCTGGAAGCTGCAACTGGTGCAGAACGCAGTGGCACGGTGTTGACTTCATTGTCTGTGCGGCCATGTATCCACCCAGTGTTGCGTGAACTGCACTGGCTGCCTAATGAGTTCCAGATCTGTTTCAAGGTGTTGGTACTTACCTTTAAAGCCCTAAATGGCCAGGGGCCTGCATATCTGCAAGACCGTCTCTCCCTGGCCCCTACCAGGGAGAGCCAGTTTGGTGTAGTGGTTAAGTGTGCGGACTCTAATCTGGGAGAACCGGGTTTGATTCCCCACTCCTCCACTTGCACCTGCTGATGTGACCTTGGGTTAGTCACAAGCTCTGGCACAGCTGTCCTTGAAAAAGAGCAGTTTGTGTCAGAGTTCTCTCAGCCCCACCCACCTCACAGGGTGTCTGTTGTGGGGAGGGGAAGGGAAAGGAGTTTGTAAGCCGCCCTGAGACTCCAAGTGAAGGGCGGGGTATAAATCCAATCTCTTCTTCTTCTTCTTCTTCTTCTACCTGGTGGAATGAGCTCTCATATGAGATCAGGGCCATGCGGGATCTTTTACAATTCTACAGGGCCTGTAAGATGAAGCTCTTCTGCCAGATTGTTAGTTGAGGCGGTAGGCATCCCTCCTCTCTAGTGGGCCTCCCCCTTAGTGGGTCAGATCTGTATTATCTAGGAACCAAAATTTGAATGAGACCTCATCTGTTGAGGCTTGGATCAGAATTATTAAAATGTTATCATATTTTATTTGAGGTTTTTAATTGTTTGTATACTGCATATGGTATTTTGATGGAACCCGTATCTCCCTGGTACAAATCCAATAAAATAAAAATAAATATTGACTATCCCATTTTGTTGCTTGTACTGACTCACTATGTGTAATCCGTCTTAAGTCCATGTGCGAAAGGCAGACTATAAATAACATATATAATGTAAATAAATAACATAAATAACCCCCCAAAGAGTCTAGTATCATGCAGAGTTAGCATTTGTAATCAAGTGTTATCAGTTTCTCTATGTATTCTTGAAGTTTCATTCAAGCCACACTTCTGTATGAAATAATCTTTTGGTAAAGCAAGCGAGTAGGTTAAGAAGAGAAGTTACATCAAGAAGAGTAAATTAAGCAGTGCAATTCTGTCCAAAAGGGATTTTCTCACTATCTGAACTATAAGGATTCCCAGAAGTTTTCCCATGTGTTTAAATCTTTTGGGGAGGGGGGGGGGAGAATGCCAGCTGGCACCATCAGGATTCAGTCCTTGTGACTTTTGAAGGATGGATGTTAGCGGCTACATCAGCTCTACGCTGATGGAAGACCAAGAGGATAGTACCGCTCCATTACAAAGCAAGTTTATGACACATTAAATTCAAACACATGCTGAATCTTAAGATAACAGAAACCAAACTTTTTCATTTAAAATCACAATTTATTTCAAAAGTATTACAAGGCAAAATGTTTGGCAGCAGTTAAAGAAAGATACAGAATAGATAGCTGAGGCTTCTTTTGTAATCTCTTAGACCATAATATTTTCTATTAAGGATCGTTTGAACAGTTATAGTTCTAGGCTATCTATAGCTTTCTTTTTCTGTACACATTCACGATCCTTTTTAAATCTGTAAGTGTGCTAAATGCTTTTATCTTAATTTTTTTAATACACGGGTGTGTTAGGCTCTGCGGCCTTTATACACACACACACGCATTTTACTTCATCATATTTTAATGGATTGTTTAACAGCTTGAATCAAAACTGTAATTTAAAAGAATTGCTATGAACAAACTGGTTTTGAACCAAAAAACGAAATCTTTTGCTTAAAATAAGTATTAGTCATCTCTGTAATTTCCTCTTGAAAAATATATTTAGCTAACAATGGCTTTAAATATTTCCTTATCGTTTTCATATGAAACACCAGAGCAAATAAAACACTTATTTTCTGTCAAGGACACCAGTATCCATCTTTAAAACTGTCAACACACCTGAGCGACTGAAATTTCTTCTGAAATTAAGAAATGCTTAATTCTGTGCTAGTTTGTAGTTCCTCCCTGGGCCTGTTAAGATGTCCTTCTTCTGCTTACTTCTTTGGATGGTACATCTCCCCCCTTCCCAGTCCCTACAAAGCACTGTCTAAACTGGGAGATTCCTCAGCTGTGCTATTTCTATGGGCTTTCCCCTTACCCCGGCAAGATCAACACCTAGGTAAAGGGAGATTCTGCATGCCATTACCCGCACGATCTTTTGTACCTACATAACAAATGTAGGAGGGCACAAGCCCAAGGGAGGCTCCCAATCATGCAAGCAGGACTTATTATCAGCTCCTTCTAAGAGGAAACTAAAGCTTATCAACAGGAATTTATTGCTAGCGTCTAGCCCTACTATGTGTAAGATCTAACAGCATACATCATATCTTTGCCGCCTGCTCCAGCCTCATGTTCACAAGGGGGCAGGCAGGGGAGAGACAGAAAGAGTGACAAACACACAGTTAATAGCACAATAAGCACATGGGCTGTGAAAATAAAGAAAAGTAGGAGTAACAACAAATTATTACATTAAAGTAAAGTGTTCTAGGAGCTAGAAGGACATGCAATAAAACTACTGGTGCCAAATCAATCAGAATAAAATAGTCTACAGATTTAGGGCAGCCTTATTTTAAGATCTGCAGTATTACCACCAGCAGACATATATTATGTCTTCTTGTATGTTCACAATTTGTAGAACATAGATGGCTAAGATCCGTATCGATCCTGTTGGAGAAGTGAGAAGAAATGGACAGGTAAAATCTCTTTTCAGGAAGCAAGTACAGCAATTAAAGGTTGGCTGAATACTGGGTGTGCGTGTAAAATGTCATCAAGTTGCAGCTGACTTATGGCAACCCCATAGGTCTTTCAAGACGGGAGACCAACTCGCTAGACCAAATTTATTTCGCAGACCTGATCAGCCTTTCACTTTTTTCACACGACACTCAACCATCAGATCTAGAAGAGCCCTTCCCTAAGTGCCTTTCTGGATTCAACCACGGTCATTTACAGACACTGGCCATAACCCCAGCAAGGTACTCCCAAGAACTGTTATTAATAATAAAATATTTCTCTGCTGCTTTGGGCATCCCCCCAAGCCAATAGACCCATCCCACAACCACCACCCAGATAAAAGTTCAAAATGATGGCATGGTATCCCCAACTCACCCTCGTGACAACTTAGTTTGGAAATGTGACCAGTCAATGAAATTTTAGCCAAGGTGTCAGGACTGAACCACCCATTTATAGATACATCACAAATATTTTTAAAAACTGGGGTATCCAGAAAGAATCCAGGGGGAGTGAGAGGAAGAGCAACTGGCTGGGAAGTGTCTCCCACCCTCTCACAAAGAGCACAAGACTTCCAAGCTTTGGGGGAACTTAGACCAAAAACCTTCCTGCTCACTTAGCCCTGTCTCTCAGGGGCCAAGTGCCTAAGCATCATCAGCCAGCAGAAGTGAGCCTGCAGCTTCTCCTTTTGCATCCCTGAGCAGCCCTGTAATGGCAGAACTTCGGGAAAAGGAAGAGGGGCATGGCACCTTTCTCCCAATTCAGATTTAATTTCCTGTTTTGGGTTACAATATGCTGGTAGACATTCTGAGCCCTTTGCAACTTAAGAAGAATACAGGGAAGGGAGGTAATTAGGGAAGAAACCCACCCCACTTTAACCACTTGAAAGAGTCTTGGGTGGTTGAGGATCAATAGGGTTCAGAGAAAGAGTCCTAACATTCAGAGCATCCTGGACTGCTGGAGGTGTGGAGGGGTTCACAGGATGTGTACTAGTTCTCACTGTAGATGACCATCAGCTTCAGGCCCATTCCTACACCCACTGCATTTCCCTTTTGTTGTTCTTCCGTTTATACTCCTCTGTCCTCAACAAGTGGCCTTATGGGTGGTCTACTGAGTATTCTGCTCGTGTGGGCTGCTTTAACTTTCAAAACGTTATCTAGTAGTTCTGAGGTGTTACTTATTGGAAGCTGCTTTGCATGCAGGACAACACTGGACATAAATATTTAAATAAAATGAAGTCTGGGGCTGCCGAAGGACCATGCCATGCCAATTTGAAAGGGAGAGTTTACAAAGACATATGTATATGTGAGCTTACATACCTGCAACTGTGCAGAGACTCCTCCACTGTGTCTTTGGGTGGCCCTGTTTCCCTGCCCTACTGAGAGGCATTTGCACTTAGAAGGGATAATATGTACGGAAAGCTCTGTGTTCACTCCCTAATAAGGATGACCATTCAAAACCCATATAAAGAATAATGTCAGTTGTAAGTTTACTAACCTGAATATAAGTTTACTAACCTGAATAGAGGACATGACTCCATTGGCCAAGACAGAAAGTTTTCCAGCAACTGATTTCACTCCTTGTTTAAACTGAGCCAGATCAGGAGTAGACGGCAGGACATTTGAAATGGTGTAATTTCCTAAACACAGGGGAGGAACAACGTTTGATATAACACACACAAAAAAGCCTGTTTACTAGTGAAAGTTAACTAGATGTAGAATAACACTCTCCCTAAAATAATTGTCTAAACACCATGAGGACCCTGCCCCCTCCTCCAGCTCTTGGATAGTAGGGTCCCCCTTTTATTTTGGACTTAGTTGTTTGAGCAGGCACACCCTTTTACAGTCTAAGTGCCAAGGGGATTTGAAACTTGGGAACTCGGGTTCAGCCATGACCAGTGTTCCCTCTAAGCTGAGTTAGTGTGAGCTAGCTCACTGTTTTTTAGCCTCTGGCTCACATGTTTTTGTCTCGGCACAGGAAGGGATGGCTCCAGAGCAAACTAATCTATGAAGCAGCCAAATCGCTCACAAGACACAACAGCTTAGAGGGAGCATTGGCTATGACACTAGAAAAGCCCAAAAAAGAAGATAAAAGGTGTGCTGGAATTAGAAACCAATTAAGTGCCATCTCCCCCAGTTCTGTGGCATATTGTTCTCAATAACAAGGGACTTTTCAGCATTGGAGACTTCACACAGTATCAGGGAAGTTGCTGTTTCATTAACCAACATTAATCATTCCTCTTTTTCCTTTTTTAAAAAAAACTCAATCAAGAACGGCACTCAAGTGATTGATTTGCCCCCTTCCTGTTTCAGGAGCTTTCTTGACTCACTCAAGCATATGTGTCCATGCAGATCTGGCTTACTTCAACCTAATTACAATCTGTTAATCATGTTGCCTCACCCAGGCTCTTGGTGCCCATGCAGAATTGGCGAGATTCAAACTTTTTGTCTTGACCCAATCCAAAACCAGAACAACCAAACCCCACTTACCTTGGGAATCTTCAGTCCATAAAAGAAGGACCCAGGCACTAGCAAATTGTTCCTCAGATTCCCAGTCCGGATCTCTGCTGGTCAGAACTCTGGTTTCTTTCCGAAAACCCCTGCTACAATCTGTAGGCTTTTTCTCTTTTTCCTACGCACACTGCTCTTTGGACTTCAGCTGCCCCACCCCAGGATCTCTCCAGAACTCAAGCCCACAATATAAGGTTTACGTCCCTTCCCTAAAACGTCCTAATTTCCTCCCTTCTACCTTTTTAAAGTGTGCTCTCTTGTTGCGAAAGGGTGTACGTGAGAGAAAGAGAATCACTCCTGATTCTCCTGAAAATAACTTTCACCTGAAAATGAAATTTATCATTGTTTCCTGATGATGTACACCAACTTCCATCCCACTAGGTTCACGCACAGGCAGAGAACACGTTACTATTATTTTGCTGCTTTTTTTTTTGCTGCTTCCTTTGAGAAAATGACACTGGGATTGAGCAGATCTTCAAATTTCAAATATTATAAAAAATGTAAGCTGCCCTTCTGGAAAGAAACTGCCTTGCCCTATAAATTACATTTTGCCAGGGGTACCCTTAAAACCTGGTGCAAGGTCAAGGTGGGGTTTTGAATTAGAATTACAAAACATGTCTGTTAAAAAAAAGCCCAACAGGTGTACTGTAGCATGCACTTTCATAGACAAGTTTCTATCTATCAACCTCATTGAATGCTTCATGGATAGTACAAGGAAATGATTATTTTAGGCCTAGCTTGGTCAAATTTAACTTTCTGTTAAGTATCATGGATACAGTCCTCATGTGGCCCATAACGTAGATCTAAAGCAAGCAGATCTAACGCTATGGCCAAGGGTTCATTCTAAGACCAAGGCAAATCTGCTATTTAGGACATATGACTACATGCAGGATTGTAGCTGCTATTAACATTAGGCCTAAACAACATGAAACTATGTATTAATTTCCTCATGCCCCATCTGTTTTGGCTGTGGACTTGGTTCAACAGTATTTCTACTTGCAAGGAATGAGAGTAATTAGCTCCTATTAGTATAAGAGGTATGAGCAACATGGATTTCTTTCCAGCATGCCAATTAAGACAGCTGCACAAACAGGTCTCTGAAGACTTTTGAGAGGCCAGACATATTTATTGATAATTTATGCAGTGCATCTTTACCCCACGATCTTTCCAATGCAGATGATTGTCCCTCCTCCACTGTATCCTCACAACAACCCTGTGAGGTAGGTTAGGCTCAGAGAGGCTGCGATCATACGCACAATTAGATCCGACATAGGTGTAAATGCCGGGCAGATTTAAAGGGCACAATCAAACAACAACATCCGGGAACTGCCCCGCAGCCGTTGGCAACTTGTTCTGCTCCACTGCAGAAGCGGAGTTAAAAGACACCGGGGGAAACCCAATAGTTAACGGGTTGCAACAGGCCACAGACGGACTTTCCCATGTCTGATCACTCCAGTGTGCTCTCATGGCGTCAGGATGGTCTGATCAGGCCATCTTGACTCCGTGCCATTGGTTTTCACCCCCCTTCGCAGTATGCGCATCATCGCAAACTCCATAGGGAGCCCTCGGTGCAGAGATGCGATTCATCAATCCCTCAGTTAAGCGCATGGGGAGAAAACAGCACAACCCCCCCTGACTCACCTGCAGTTGCATCTAATCATGCACTGACGGACTGCGCCTGCAGCTTCAAAGGAGGTGTGATTGTGCAACCGGGGGTCAAATTCCTCCGGAGGAAATAGCCTCACTTCCCCCCTGTTTTTTCTGGTGCGTGTGACTGCAACCAGAGTGTGACTGGGTCAAGGCCATCCAGTAAGTTTCACAAGTGAAACCTGAAACCATGTCTCTCTGATCCTAGTTTAACACTAGAACTCAACACCAAGCGCATGTAAAGTCTGCACTTCCTAGGAAGTGTTTAGAATTGCAATTGGAAACATAACGGTAGAATGGTGCTCTCAAGTGAAAGTCAACCTGAACAGGAATTATTGCACCAGACCTAGAAATAACAACTTATAGCAGTGGCAATGTGTGCATTTACACAAATTTAGACTAACCAAATCTCAGACTTTTTCATTGTTTTCTTTCATACCTGATGGCTGTTTCTTCTGCTCTTCAAACAAGTCTGCTGAACTTATCGCTGAGCTTCCAGAAAACCTCTCTAACCGAGCTCTAGCTTCATACTATGGAAAAGTTAAAAAAAATTCAGCAACAGTGCAGTGACATGGCTCTGATACTGAAGTGAGAGCAGTTTTACTGTCACACTGCAAAGAAACCTCACAGCAAAGGTAGACCTTCAGGGGGAAAGCCAGTGTTAACCACCAGCAACAAAGAGTCCAGCTTAATCATTTCAGCTCTCAGTTCACTTTGTCCATAGCAAACTCTAAAGCCAGAAGCCATTTAGTATGTTTTATTAAAACCCGCCAAAATAACACAATATGCTGTACAAGCTTTCAAGTTCTCCAGAACTCTTTATCAGAGCAAGAAAAAAAAAGGGAAGAATCTTCAGGCCATGATCCTAAGGTCTTTCTATCTGTATATTGTGTTGGATGCTTTCTTGATTTCACTAGGCATGGGGTGTGGATTGCTGTAATCAAGAACTTCCCAGCTTGCCAATGGAATAACTTGATACTTGTTTATTACACCCTCTGCCCACGAAAATCAAGGATGGTAAGTAAAAAACTGGGATCACAGTGTAAGAACAAAAAAACACCACTGTGATAACATTGTACAAGGATTTACTGCACATCTCTCCTTATTAAGAATTGCATTTTCAAGTGGCAAAGTTCTATGCACGCCAAAATCAGTTGGTGGCCTGAACTGCCACTCAGAAGGCACTGGCTGCGTTGGCTGGCTGAGTGGTAGAGTCCCACCCACAGAAGCCCCGGCCAGCATCTCACCCTCAGTCTACAGGGACATGCCGGATGGGTTGGACGCTCCGGTGGGTAGAGGCTTAGGGGGCGAAGGCCAATCCTGCTGCCGAGGGAGGCAGCGAGACCTGCATGTCTTTACTGCCTATTTGCCCAATGGCAGTGGGGAGGCAGGAGGATGGGCCCGGCTGGGCCCTGCTAGCTCCCTCCGGCCGGCCTGGGCTGCGCTACCATCTTCTTTCTCGGCAGACTTTGGCTGTGCCTTCTCGTGCCTCCCTCCCGTGGGCAGGCGAGCGAGCGAGGGCGGCAGAGAGCTGGGCCCTTGCCGGAGGGAGGGGGATGAGGGAGACGAGCTGACAGCACCACAGCCTACCTTGGTGTGGGCTCCTCTCTGCTGGCGCGGTTGGCACCTCCACTTGGCCCAGCCACAGCAGCGGCAGGACGAGTAGTCTGAGGGGAGGGGAGGGAGGGAGGGGGGGCGGCGGACAGCCAGGAGGGAGGGAGGCGGCCAGCAGCAGTGCAGCGGCTGCTCCGGGAACACCGCACGCCAGCCAGGGATGCTGCCGAGGGAAGGAGCCCAGCGGGACGGGCTGGTGGCGCTGAGGGGAGGGGAGAGGGTCGGGGGACCAAGGGGAGAAACTGGAGGGAGACGGGTCCGAGGGCTGAGGGGTGGACCGTGGTGGAGGTGCCCTGTAGGCTGCTGGATGCAGCCGGGCAGGGAGCCACTGGCAGGGTGTGCCATCACCCTTTAACACCAGGGTCTTGGGAGGGGGGAGGAAATGGGGGACTGGGTCTCTGTGTGCTTGGAGACGGCCCAGGCAGGGAGCCGAGGGGGGAAATGTCTCATGTCTTTTGCTGCTACAACGGGCTTTGCTTCTAGTAATATATAATTACAAAGAACTTTCAGTAATATAATCACAAGAAACTTTCAAGGATACAAAACCATTGACATGAACAGCCACACTTTGTAATGTCCATGAATCCCTTGAAGATTTCAGAAATTCATGATAGCAGCAGTAAAAATATTCATAGCAACAGCTATCAGGATAAACACCTGTTTCCTTGTTTTCTTCTTCAGCCACTCCTAAACTGATAAAGGTAAGCCGTATTAACATGGAGCGATGACAATCTCATCCAGTTTCCTTTTTCAACTGGCAGCAGCCTGTTTAGAATGCCAAGCTAATCATGCCTGTGCTGGAAGAGCTTTTTAGCCAGGACAGGCGTGGTTAGCTCCATGTTATGCAGCTTACCTTTATTATTTTAGCCAGCATAAGGACTAGCTGAAGAAGAAAACAACTAAACATGTTCCATGTTGCTCCTTATCTTGAGAAAATTGAAAAAGGGGGCAGAAGAGAGGAAATTAAATTTTCTCAAGATCAGCTCTGCTATAAACACAGCAGATACTTCCAGAAATGTTGAGACTAATCACAGAAGGCCAAATAGCTCCCAAACTAGTCAACCACGGCAGAAAGTTTAAAAAAAAACTTACTTCAGCATGATCTTGCTTTCCAAAATACATATCTGATGAAATGGCTTTAACGTTGCCAAATTTCTTCTGAGCCTCATCGGTGCTTGCAGAAAGTTCATACTCAGGTTTATGGCGAGAGGGAGGCCTACAAACATTGCATATGGTCACATGTGACAAAACAGGCTCCAGTTCAATAGACAGAAACCAATTAATATATTGAATACCAAGCATACATTAAGCATTGGATCCAGACTAAATTTTCTGCTGACAGTAAGGGACATGTAATTTCCACCAATTCATGCCTTTTCTGAGGGTCCCCTGTTCCCCAGGAGCAGCATTTGGGGGAAATCAATGGGCTGCAGTGGGAAGGGGAGGCAGGAAAGTTCTGGTTCACGGCCACAAAAGCCTTCTATTAGCGGAAAAGTTAGTCCAACCCTACATTATTAGAACCGGTAGATTATATTTATTAGTACTGGTAGATGATAATCTCTCCTTATATATAATTGTGAAGTGGGGTGGCACTTTCTGAACATTCCACAAGGTCCTAAAACAGTTGGCTCCATGATGTGTCACTCAGAAGCTGTCCCTATCCACTGGCTGCGTTGCCTGAGTCCCGCCTCCAACATTCTAAACAGTTTGATGTTCCTCTCCCCCCCATAGCCAGTCAGAACACAAAGATTATTTGCATATGCAGCCCAATTGGCCTTTGCCTCTAACATTCTAAACCGTTTGCTGTTGCTGTTGGGAGTCACTGAATGTGTCCTGAGGTAAAATACATATCCCAATCTTCCCTTAAATGGTCACTGGAGTTGCCAATCTCTCTGTGGGGCCTGGAGATCTCCCAGAAATCACTGTGTTCCCCAGCCACAGCACATCATTTCCCCTACAGAAAATTTCCCAGCTATTACAACTGATCTACAAATGAGCAAGATCAGTTCTCCTGGAGACAATGGCTGCTTTGGGCAGTGGACTCTATGGCATTATACCCTGCTGGTCCCTCCCCACCCCAAACCCTGCCCTCCCCAGGCTCTACCCCTCAAATCTACAGGTATTTCCCAACCCAGAGTTGGCAACCGTGTAATTGGCTATGGAACCACTTTCCAGATTCTTGGAACCCAGGAAACATGGCATAGGAGGAGGTGCTTTTCTACCTTAGCTGCCACTGCATAGCCCCAAATTAACATAAACTAACCTCCAGGCAGCACCTGGAGATCTCCAGCTATTACAACGGATGTCCAAGTGACCAAGATCAGTTCTCCTGGAGACAATGGCTGCTTTGGCCAGTGGACTCTATGGCATTATACCCTGCTGAGGTCCCTCCCCAGGCTCTACCCCTCAAATCTACAGGTATTTCCCAATCCAGAGTTGGCAACCCTGTAACTGGCTATGAAACCACTTTCCAGACCCTTGGAACCCAGAAGCCATGGCATAGGAGGAGGTGGTTTTCTACCTTAGCTGCCACTGCATAACCCCAAATCAACGTAAGTCAAGGGTGGAGGGAACCATACCTGTTACCATGAGGCTTTCCTCCCATACTACCCACGGGGCAGCAAAATGACTTGAGACAGCCCTGCCTTATAGCTAACCAGAAGGAAATAAACATGGCTTGCCTCCCTCTACTTTCCCCTTCCCTCTGCCACCCCACCAGCCACAGCAGGGACACTCACCTGGAGATTCCTTCTAAAGCTCATTGTATTTCTTCCCACAACTGGCCTTACACCTAGTTATTAATATGCCCTGACCTGGATAGCCCAGGCCTATCTCATCAGATCTCAGAAACTAAGCTGTGTCAGCCCTTGTTAGCATTTGGATGGGAGACTACCAAGGAATATTAGGGTTGTGATGCAGAAGCAGGCAATTGCAAACCACCTCTGAACGTCTCTTGCCTTGAAAACCCTACAGGGTTGCCATAAGTCAATTGTGAGTTGATGGCAAGAAACTAAAAAAATATTAATAGTAGTACCAGAAATAAACTAATTTGATCAAACATTTACCACACACTGTAACCCAGTGCACATGATAGCCACATATGCTCATTTTAATAGGTGGGATGGGATGCAAATCAAATACATTGATTCTATACACCATCAAGAAATGTCACAGAAAACATAACATTCGTAACAGATGCTTGTAGCTTTACTTATTTGTGTATATAGATCCTCTATGAACTCAACAGTAGAAAATGTATGGATTTTAGTCCCAGATCTGCCTCCTTTCTTCCATGCTGGTCTTGACATTAAGCAACAGTGGGAATTTAAAGCATAATTTCTACAACTACATGAGGGCTGACAGATATGGAGCAGACTAATCTGTTACACATACATAAACTATATGTCAAAGCAGATGATTCCTAGAATGATAAGCAAAAACAAAACAAAACAAAAAATTAGGGCACTGATTAGCAAAAAGAAAGAAAATCCCTAACTGTTCAGATTTCTGCAGCTGTCATGGTGAATGTTTTCTTACTGCAATGCTTGCATTTGTGTAACCGTATTGCCAATGAATTCCTCACAAATAGCGATGAGTTTGTGGTATTTACAGAAAAAACCCAGAGGAATATTCATTTCTTTAAATTAGATTTTTTGTGCCATAACTGTCAATACAATGTAGGGATCTCTAAAAAAAACCCTTGATTTATATTAAACAGGGGAAAAAATATGTTAATTTTGTAATCTTGCAGGGGCCATCCTAAGCAGAGTTTTCCCTTCTAAATCCCTGGAAGTCAATGGGCTTAGAAGAGTGTAACTCAGTTTGGGATGACATTGTTAGAATACCATATGTATCATGGTACTAAACAGTCAACATTTGACTACATACACAATTTTCCATGCAAGCCAGTCCTATGCATGGTGTCACACCCCACCTGCACACCCCAGACCTTCCCACTGGTCACTGTTGCTGGTTGGAACAAGAAAGGGGAAAAAACTAAACCTAACAAAGAACTCCAAAACCAAACAAAGGTTAGTGGAAAGGAGGGCCAATATAAAAACTATTTATAAAAAGAGGTACATGTATTTATTGATAATATCAAATTAAAACATATAAAGGGGCCCAATTACAACCAATATACATAAACCATAATCATAACCAGGGCTAAAAAAATGACCTGACGCGTTTCGGCCGAATCGCAGTGTTGCTGGTTACCAGTTGTTGCAATTCTAGAGGACCCCATTTTCCCCTTTGTCAAGGCCGCTGGAGGTCTCAGAAGGGCAAGAAGGTTAAGTCACCGCTTGTTCAGCCCTGCTGGCTAGTACCCTTCTGGTCTGATCTGGTCTGCTCTCTCTCTCTCTCTTTGTGCCACTGGGTCACTAGCCCTCTCCTCCTCGACCATCTCAGCCTGCCTTTTATCCCCCTCCACTCCTTTGTCTCTGCCCCATTCCTGCCCCATTCCTTCCCAGTTGGCCCCACCCTCCGTCTTCAGCCCCAACACCAAGCTTTGATCTGTGGGTGGGGCTGTTCCTTGGTCTCTGTGGGATACCCACTGCCCGGCCAGCTTCAGGCCTGGCTGTTGTTCCACTCTACCTTGGAGTGGAGCTGGCTCAGTATCCCGGGAGAGTGCTGGCCCGGTGTTCCTGCGAGCCCTTTGTGGCCCAACCCACTGATCTCCTGCCTTGAAGCCTGGCCCGAGCCCAGTCAGGCTCTCTGCTGCCACCACCTCTTTCTGCAGTTTCTAAACTGAGCTCCGCAGCACCAGAAATGCCAGTGGAGGCAGGCCCGTTGACACCGCTTCCCCTGTTCCTGTTGTGGGGCCGTGCAGTGAGAGTAAATTTGGGCTTTGGGGTGCTGGGGGGTGTGGGGTTTTGGGCAGATGCTGTGGGGGCTGTGGAGACTGCCAGCAGCAGTAGTCTGGGCATGGAGGTGCTGGGACACCCCCCCCCTTACTGGATGTTCTTGGTGTCATCCTCATGGAGTCAGGACAGATAGCAGTTTTATGTTCCTGTCCAGCCTGGTGTCACACTGCAAAACAATAAGGTAGGAGAGACATGTACCACTGTAAAATGCGGGGGTTATGGTAGTTCATCCTGGACATCCATAAAATTAGCTACCCATTGGAATGCGTTGTTGGTGAGATAGTATTGCAAGGCCCCTACTGCCCATTTTACTGCGAGGGCCTCTTTCTCAACTGCTGAATATTTGCACTCAGCTGGCTGCAGCTCCCTTCTGACAAACAGTACCAGTCGTTCCTGTTCACTAACTTCTTGGGACAATACGGCCCCCAATCCTGAACTGGATGTGTCCATATGTAGAATGAAGGGATGGTCAAAATCTGGGTTGTGCAAGACTGGGTCCTGGGACAGACTGGTGCACAGCTTTTCAAAAGCTTCGACTTGAACCAAACTCCATTAGTTGGTATTTGGACGGTACTTCCACAAGTAGTCATTGAGGGGGCTGGCCACAGTGGCAAATCCAGGTATGAACTTGCTGTAGTAGCTGATGGAACCTAGGAATCGGTGAAGTTGGCACTTTTTTGTCAGCCTTGGTTGTTGCTCTAATGATATAACTTTTATCCAGGAGGGGTCATAGTTGTCAGTGACCAACTAGGAATCCCAGATATTTCAGCTCTTTAAGTCCGATATGGATTTACTTAGGGTTTGCTTTCAACCCCGCATATCTTAAGGCTTGCAGGACATGTTAGAGGTGTTCAAGATGCGTTGGCCAGTCTGGGCTATACATGACGATATTGTTGACCCATGTCCTTGCAAATCCCTCGCAGTGCTTGAGAGCCTTGTCCACAAACTACTGGAACGTGTCTGCAGTGCCCTGCAGCCTGAAGGGCATTCTTTTAAATTGAAACAGCCCCTGTGGTGTGGCAAACACTGTTTTCTCTTGGTCTGGAAGGTGTACCAGGAATTGCCAATAAACTTTTATGAGAGATATCAAGCGGTACCCAACTGATCAATAAGAAGGTTGGCACAAGGCATCGGTCAGGTGTTGAATTGGGTGATTTTATTCACTTCCCGATAATCAACGCAAAAATGCATGCTGTCATCTGGCTTGGGGACCAAGATCATGGGGATTTTCCAGGGGCTCTGGGACGGTTCAATGACACAGAAGCATAGCATGTCTTTTACTTCCTGGCTGACTACTTCCCACTGTTTCTGTGGTACTGGGTGCCAGTGGGTCCTAGCCACCTTCCCAGCGGGT